AGGATGATACTTCTTTGGAGAAAGTATGATCAAAACTGAAATCGAAATTGACATTTGCCTTAAGCTTGGCTGAGTTAAGATGTCATCAGCTTAATGCCAACTACGATAACGTATTTCCTCTAAAATTACCCTTTACAAAAAACGGGGACTTAAACGTAAAGTGGCGCTGATTAGCTACAACGAAATTTCGCGCAGCAAAGGAGTTTTAAATCACGTAACCTAATACTATTGACACAGCTTTAATCCAATAAAAAGGGAATCAAAACTGATATTTGCTTTCGCCCGACATGAAATTTCTCTAAAATTTAGTTTGGTGTTTATCTCGCCTTTCTTCTTGAATTGTTATTCACCCATCGCAGGACTTTAACCTCCCTCAACTTTAACGTTTTGGAACCAGCTTGTAAAGGCATTGAAGGGTGTATGATTATATCACGACCGAGTCTGCTGCGCATTTGAGTTCAAGCATGATGAGAGGAAAAAAAAAAACAGCCTTATTTCCAAACCAAGCAGTCAACTTTTGAATCTCGTAGGTTTTGCCTTCATTCGCTAGCTCGATTGGAAAAATGATAACATGCAATTATAACATACATAAGCTGGCTTGCATCTCAAATTGTAAGTCTCGTGATCTACTGTCCAATTGAATTATATATTCCTTTTAGCTTACCGTAAATTGAGGCCTGTTTGTCTCTTCCGGAAGCTCTTGACAGTTATTTACTCTTACTAAATGTTCAGAAAATGAATGTTTTATCTTAAAAGTTATTCTCAACCCAAATGGGGTGTATACCAAATAAACGAAATGAAATGATGGGATGAATTGAAGGACAGTTCACATCGTACTGTTCGTTCGCACCGATTTAGCTTTGTTGTCATGATCTTAAGGTTGACTCTGATCCCGAAATGGGAACAATTAACATCGAAATGATCGTGAAGCAATGAGTAGTGTATTCACGATTCTGTCTCAGTCTAAGGTAGTGTTAGATACGCGTCAGTTAATTAGCACAGATTTTACAGGACAGTTTGTAAAACCCTGAGAAGCATGAAGCTGCAGTCCCTGCAGTCCCCTGACTCTGAACTCAAAATGGGAACAGTTTANAGTAACATACCGATGTCTTAAGTTAGAGACGAGTAACTTTCGGACACAGATGGCTAGACACGAATACATGCCTCTAACCTGACAGAAAATGCAAATACATGCATGTAAAATACGAGTACAAATTTAAATGCATTATAAACATAAAATACACTATTTTCTTTATTAGTTGGCAATAAAATAGGAGCCGCTGACGTCGATGACAATGGGCATTTCCGTCTGCGTACATCAACATGTGTGGAAATAGTAATTCTGCAGACGCACTCCACACTCGTGGTTACCCCATTTCTTATTCATACGACGACACTACATTTGATGAAGAGTCAAGGAGAGAAGCCCTCTGCACCAGAAAAATAACAATCAAATCCTATCGGGGAGTATTGAAAGAGATCTTGGATGAATAATGATACACGCTTTAAATCCTGCCTTGTTTCTAAAGCGATACGAAGCAAAATACTTAATTTAGCTCAAGTAGGAAATCACATCTCGTGAGCACCTTTCGAAAATAACAAACTCTCTGGCAACTAAACACATACAAATTGCGAGGTTCCCAGAGGTTCCAAAATAGAATCTCGCTGTATTCTATGTTGTAGTAATTGAAGTTTTATTTTCAGTCGTCTCCTAAAAGTAAAAGTAAAAGCGGTAGCTTGCTCCTTCAATTCTCATCCAAAACATGAAGCCAGCACTTAAATTCATGGTTGCACAAATTCTTTAAAAAATGGCTTAACTTAATTGGAATTGGAAATGTACAGCAGATAAATAACGAGTACGAAGGTGCTTCATCGACAAAGCTATGATCTAAACCGACATTTGTATAAATGTAGAAAAAGCGAGCAAAATGCGCGACTTTGTGTATAGCTACAATTCCTAAGGTCATCTATCGGTCAGATACAAGCCAAGTGAGGGGAAATTCCCTTTTTCAATTTGAACCTTGCGGTACTTTAAGCCAAACACAGGAAGTGACCCACGAAAAAGGGTTAAGTTTAAATAAATAAAGGCTGATAGTTTCGAAAGAAACTGTTTGGAGCTGCGTCGGTGGGAGTAACGAAATAATTTGGATATATCAACAAAGTTGAAATGGTAAATTAGCCACCGTAATGATTACAAAAGCTGACGTTTCGAGCGTTAGCCCTTCGTCGGAGCGAATAGAGGAATTGTGGGTTGTGTGTGCTTTTAAAGGCAGAAAATGGAGCTACGTTATTGGTGGGAGCATGGCAACGAGAAAAACATGAATAAATTAGTGGAATGAAAAGCGTTCGTTGATCCCTGTGGGATTTAGACTGCCGGTTTGAAAGATGAGCTTTTGTTCAAGATTTTTACGGCTTTCCGTGCCACCTAAGTGCAAGGAAAGACCGCAGATTGCCATGTGTTGCTTAGAATGATTAGGTAAATTAAAAT